GTCAATTTTAAATCATATTGGCGGTGTTTCCCGACAATGTATTCAATATAAGCATGTGTATAAGGGTGAAATGGAAATTACTTCTTCCTCATTTCTGTGTATAGGGCACATTATGGGAGTCTTCATAGGTAGTATGTACGTAGACATATCAATAAGCTCCTGAACCGGTTTTCATATGAGCAAACTATGTGCAGACGCTCTGTTTCAAAATGATGCCTTTCGAAATACATGGATGACAAGAAAGCAACTTGAAACTTTTATATGGAATTCATATCTTGTACTTGATTAGCCTGAAAATTTAATGGATCGTTGCCTGCTAGGTTTTCCTAGAGCTCTTGAAATTATATGAATTCATGGTTACCCATTCATGAGTTATGGCATATTTTGTCGAAATGGTAAAAAAAGGAGTATGCAGGCATGCGACTGCCATTGCGAGGTACGAATACAAAATGCATGAGGATCCCTGAAAATGCATGCAGATGCATGAACTTTTTATGGTTCAGTACATATTTTTGACAACGTTCTATTAAGTTTTCGCGAGGATCCGTCCAGTGGAACTGATTCATTAGGCAAAAGTCAAATATGGATTCGTACCTTACCATTGACAGTCACCTGCCTGTCCACTCAGAAAATTTTACCAATCCGATTAAATATGTCATAACTCAATAGTAGATGGGCAAGGTTGCATATACATCAACAGCTCTTGAAGAACCTTGTCAACAAGGTATACCTACGTTTTCACGTCAATTCGCTGAAGAATTTATTTAAAAAAAAAAAGTTCAAGTTACTTAATTTTTTCCAGTCAGCCTTCTAATTCAACCTGACTTGCAACACACATTTCTTTTCCTTTGTAAAGAGCTTAAAACGGACTGTAACCCATTCTTGGAAAATTTTTCCAACGCGTTTGTCGCTAGTTGATTGGTAAGCGCCTGTGTCGTCGAAGCGGCAGCCATACATCGAAGGCACATCATTTTTGGAATCAGCCTGAAGTCCCAAGGTTCGAGGTCCGAGGGATACGAAGAATATGGGAGCAATGACCCTCCAAGATTGGTTAGAAATTCAAAGGTACGACATAGGTACCGTTTGATTGCCGGCAGCCATTGCTCAAAGTTTCCTTATTACGGCTTGTCGATTACCGTCCCATGCGTACATCATCTCCAGTGGATCCCCACCTTTAGCGGAATCGCTTGTCATGCACACCAGAATTAGGATTACTTTGGCCTCAGGGGAATGACCTCCAAAAAATGGCTTGGCAGCGAAAGTGTTAATTACTTTTAACTCTGCCTCCATTCTTTATTTAAATTGCATCTCCTTCCGAGATGAGCACCCTGAAATTCTGCATTACATGGAACAGGTTAAACCCAGCGTTATTTACTTCAGTGAACTTAAAAGTAAGACGTCGCCATTAAAAGGGAACTTATACTGCTACAAACCATGCTTTCAGGATATCATAGTAGCCCTTACCAAAGGGGGTTCAGTAGTGTACATCCTCAGCAATCTGGGCTATGAATCAATTAATTAGATTCTGATCTAGAGGTAATTGACTTTAAAAAATCGTTTTCCAGTAGCAACTCTCTCTCTGTCACGCCCATTTTCCTCCTAAATTTGCTCCTTCCCCTTTCGACCTTGACGTTATTTATTAAATAAGCAACCCTTCGCTCCCTTTAGGTGACTTAAACGCTCATTTCAGTCCCCTAGCCTCTCCTTTCGCGATGGACCCAATAGAACAGGTCGTAATCTCAGCTACTCCACAGCTTCCAGCAGCTTACCATCTGAAATGATGACTATCCCATCTACCACTGTCCTAGTCAAGGAAATATTTATGTGGAATTGACCTTGCACTAAGCAATGCAATGTTACTCCTTTTTCTTACAATTTCTTAATGTCTTTTGCATGTCTTAATGTCTTGTGGTAATCCATATTAACTGTAACTTCTCGCTAAGGGCGTAGCAACGGGGGGGGGGGGGGGAGGGGGCTAATGCCCTGTCACTTTTCTAGATGAGGGAGCAAGCCAGGCGGATATAAGCGAGCAAATAAACCTTGGAGCCATATCACGCCCAGACTTAACATTCCGTTAGTCCTCCCACTCATCGGTCGTTGTCGTTTTCAATTTCGCGTGGGGCTCCTTCGATTTCTAAGCCAAAGGAATTTTATAAACATGGAATTGAAATACTTGTAGAAAGGTGGCAGAGTCATAGAGAACGAAGGGGAATATATACTTGATTGAAACTTGATGCGATGCAGGTGTATTTTAATTTTGAAAAAGAGAAAAAAAAGCGACATTACTTATGGGATGACCTGATATCATGAAAGGAGTCAGGTGATAGTTTGCTATATTACGTCTGCGATAACAATAAATAAGTATACAGATATATCTATTAATATCTTTGGGTATACCTGTATGTATGACAAATCAAGAATTTCTTATTGTTTTGACATGTTTTGATTTTCCAGAGAAGGTTGAAGTAAGTCAATGAGGTTGATCAAGCTGGACTGTTCGAATTTGAAATCGAGCAGACCATACTTATACGACGCATAAATACAAGCCTTTTACCGTGTTTTCCCTTGAGTTTGACATTTTTCACTTGATTTCGACAACGGTGCATGTTGGGGGTGGTGTAGCGAATCCACGCAGATACTAGGAGTTCAATTCTTAGGTGAAATGTCGCTCCCGTCGCTTTTCACGGTAGGATCCTCGCAATCCTTCAGACACCCGTATCCAGAGAAGCGTTCATTACTGTGGTTCTTTTTCCCGTTTTGCAGAGTATTCCCTGCCGAATTCATTCATGCCGAAGGTAATCTGCTTTGAGGATCGATTCAGAATCGTGAAGAAGATATTTGATTCCTGAAGACGTATTCAGAGATCAGGGAAGAGCTTTGCGTCCCGCTTACAACAGGGCGATATCTCTCACATTCGAAAAGACAGGGGGAATTGTGAGAGGGGATCTTGGCCGCTGGGAAAAGAAGGAGTGTTGGTGTCCATTGTTTTGAGAAGGAAAGATGTGACCCTTAAAAAATTGAAGGAGGAGGTGGAAACGGACAAGCTTGGCATCTTTCGGTCAGATTTAGGGTGCAAAAAAACTTGTGGTTAACAGTCACTTTCTAATTTAAGCCTACTAATATCCCAGCCTCAGATTACCAACAAATAAAGAGAAAAATACATACACAGACAAATGAAATTACGCACTATTTGAGAAAAATTGACAGCTCGCATACTACAGGGTGTCTCAAAATTCCTCATCGAAAAGTAAAATTATATTTCCAGAAAAGTAAATTTTGTAAAGTGAATGTTGGTAGTCATGTGACCTAACTCCTACTTTTCGTTCGATATGGGTGGCATCACCTTAGCAAAGCAAGATGGCAACAAAGAAGGCGGAGTGGGTAATTTTGCACTGAACCTAACCTGAACATTGTTGTGCTTGTACAGCATTAGTTCAAGCGGTTGTACGGAGCAAGGAAGTCTCCAGCATCACAGAAGATTCTGCATTGGTTCGGGGAATTTGAAGAAACCAGTACGACCTTAAATTGTTTACAAACTACTGACACGTCGCAACTGACTCATTCACGTGAAGTGACTGGGCTTTCATGAATGTGGCAGTATCTTCAAAAATTTTTTTGGACTTCTTGCCATTGCCACCTGAATATTTCCACTACGTCAGCTGGTGTGCGTGGCTTGCTTGCTCCATTTTGATTTGTCACTATTCCATTTTTTATTATAAATTCTTCAACCAATTCAGAATGCTTTGTTATGATGGAACCTTCCTTCCTCTGTAAAACCACTTCAACAAACCGCTGTACAAGCGCTACTATATTCAGCTTTGCGTAAAGAATCACTTCGCCTTTTGTTGCATTGTTGTCATGTTGCTTCCTATGGTGCTGCTACCCAAATTGAATGAAAAGTAGAGAGTTAGGTCACATGACTACCAACTTTCACTTCTCTACATCTACTGCTGTTCTGGTAAGAAAATTTTACTTTTCGATGAATAAATTTGAGGATTTCTGTTCAGGTATTTCTGTTGCTCTCTTTCTTTCCCTCATGTGCTACAAGCGCATGAGGAACATCCCCTACATCCCCATGCGTTTAACCTTACGTTCGTAACATTACCACTCTAACCTTGAATGACAGACCTCAACTTTGGTTTTGTTGAGCTCCATCTCTCTCTCTTGGCGGATGAACTCCTCCCTTTTGAGTTGCTCCTCAAATGCATGCCTTTGAGTCTCCTGTTGTGCCTTCAGCTCCGTAAACTGCCTTGCCTTCTCCTCCTTTTCCTTAGCCAGTGTCTTTGATTGGTTCTCGCTCTGAATCTGCATCTCTTCAGCCTGCAATACCTTGCCATCCTGTCATCTCAAAAAAGTATCAATGGGAAATTGAATGGGATGGAAAAGGAACCTGAGTCTTGGCGTCATTGAGTTCTGCTTCCCTCTTTTGACGCATGGACTGCTCCCTTTGAAGTCGCTTCTCAAGTCTTTTACTTATGTCCTCGCTCTTTGCTCTCCGTCCTTCCACTTCAGTCAAAGTCTTCGACATGTTCAGGAGCTGCTCTTTCAGCACCTTTATCTTGTTCCCCAGCAAAATAACACCCAGGAATCGATTCTTAGCGGATATTTACTCCACACGACTCAGATGTATTCACGAAGCTTCAGCGTCCGTTTAATTTATACGTTAACATTGGAACATCATCGATTTAGAATTTACATTAATAATATAACATTTATAAAACACTGTTCTCATGTGTATATACTTAAGGCTGCAGGGCCTTCTATCTTCGATTTAGGTAATGTTGCCCTAATTTGGAACATGAATACTAAATGATCAATTAAAATCCATTAGAATTCATCTGAGGAACAGTTTTCTTTAATGTTCCCTCACTAAGTTTTCAAATCCTTTTCGCAACATGAGGTACTTCTTGGATGTCTGTGATTAGCATGTGATTTGCTTTTGCATTCATTTACCACAGAACTATGAAGTTATTTTTAGAGAGTGATTGAAATATACTGTGTGATTACAGCTGTTTTAGTTGAAATTTTCTTCACATGAATGCGAGAGGGTAACTCACCTCCTGGTCCTTTTCCTTGCCAACATTTCCCAGTTCCTTCAGTATCTAAGTAGAAGAAAACGGATGCATGAGGTATGAAACGGGAGGGAACCACTAATCGCTGCGTATGTGGAGGAATTGTGATTTTGGGAGGGATATCGCTAACATGGAAATTTTGTGGGAAAGCCGTAAATAAATCGAGAGGGAGAGGGGGAGAGAGAGAGCAGATATTGATGATTGCTGTTTTGATGATGATACTTGATACTTTTGATGATGATACTGATGAAACTTGAAGAGATAAACTAGCTGAAGTCTATGCATGTTATCATCTGATGAGTTCCCTTCCACAGTCACAATTCATTGAAGTTTTTAATAGAATAAGGCATTCCTATTTGCGTATACAGGTAAGGAAACGAGTGGAACGAGAGGCTTTGCAGAACAGTTTTGCAAACAAGAGGTCGTCCATGGTGAGGGGGGCAAAGATTCAGCGTTGGCATTTATGATTAATCAATTTCATAAGCAAATCACTTGGACCTCAAATGACTAGATATTTCATGGCCAGTATACGAAATCGGATTTTAAATCAAAATTAGCAATCCAGTGTCTTAGCAAACCCACTCCTTGTTCACTTAGTCATGGAAGGGGAACGTGGAAACGCGTTATTAAAGTAAAGTATGACCTCGGAATGAAATTTGAAATTGGTTTCTGATTCAAATTCAAAATTTCGTTTCAAATTGAATTTGGAATCGAATCCGGATACACCGATCCAAAATTATTAGGTATTGTCTATTCGGCAACAAAAGACACACTTGGTCGGGAAGATATGATGGATGAGGCGGTGAAGGGCTACGAGTCAAAAGAGAGATGTGTATATCTGGCCTCTGGCAAGTCATTTGGGGGTTAAAGGTTTATGACACGCTTCAGTGCTGTCAGATGACAGACAACACTTTTCAGTCAGCTGAGAGAGATCTCTTAGAGAGGTCCTGCTTCTTCTGATTGAATGAAAGAAAGCAATTCTGATTAAGAAGAAAATCCCTCCATTCACCATGTCTCAGGTGAAGAACTTAAGTGACGGAGGCAATCTCTTGGCCTGTCATGTCGAAGCTGCAAGTCTATCTTTTGAGGCCGAATCAATATGAATTACCTTTCTTCGACCCCTTTTGGCGACAAAATTCAACCGTCTTGAATTTTTACTGAGAGCATCAATAGGAGCGAAATTTGGCATACTTCTTCCTCTCTCTCTCTTACGCTAGTGGGTTCCGTAGTTGTTTGGAAAAAAAATCGCCTAAATGGTATTACTTGCCAGACATTTTGGAAGCGGCAGGCTGCATAGAACCCAAACTGCGATATGTATTGAGATCGTCCAAGAATTCGTCCTCGGCAAAGGATGGACATAGGTTTCATCAGTGAGAATGGCTGCTACATGTGTTACAATTTTGGAGAGCGTGAAAGTGATGCACCCGACTTGAAGCGAATTGCAGGTTGCTGGATCACGGTGATTTTCCATACTTTTCTTTGAAGCGGTATTGTATTAGAAGCACTGTTGATTTTATTTTACAGTAGTCTTACTTATTCACCAGAAATGAACGAATGTGCAGAAAAGCATGAACCTTGCATATCAGATAGATATTTCAGAAAATAATCTGGCCTCCTTTTCTTCGAATAAGTCATTCTGTGACTCTTCTAAATCTGAAGCTTTAAGATTTCAAAGGAGGATCATAACTAGCAGACAAGACCCTAAGTTCCATCTCTTTTGGCGTCCTGGGACTAATTGTTTTATTCCTTCTCCCGAAAGGGAACAAGTGAAGTTTAAATCGGGCTTAGGTATTCGTTCTCTTGATCTTCAGGCGACTACTCGAACATTTTGTCTATTCCTTCGACATCTTACAAGAGTCAAGTGTTTTTAAAAGAGTTGGGAATGCGGGCTGGATGCGTATGACATCACGTGTTGGTAAGGTGATCATGATGCACTGTATTGTCTATGTGCGCCCATTATGCATCATGAAGTAAAAGCGGAAAACTGCAGCATCCTAGGCTTTTGGCTCTTGACTTCGGTACGTATGACGCGAGCATAACTGTGAGATCAAATACTCGAAATCAAACTTACTTCTGAGAGAGGACCATCTTCAGCTTCAGGCCTGATGAGCAGCAGCTTGTCAACCTTCGTGCTAATTTCGACCGTCTTATCCTGAAAAAGGATGAAAGAGTTCTGAAGGGACGGTTCTGGAGTTTCTTTATTGTTTATGCTCCTTATACCTATAGCAAATATTGTCCCGCTAGAACTTTGAATGCTAAGGGGCTGAATGTGTTCAAGTGGAATTTGCATGATTACTCAGACTGGTCCTCTACATAACAACGTTTAGCAACTCTTTTAGGTTCCATAGCCCAGATATTCAAACGGTTCCTATACAAGCCAAGTTTGTGAAGAATTGTATAGGCATATTATTATTTATTAGGCATAGGGTTGGTTGAGGAACTGGATATTATGTAGCTACTAATATCTCTGACATCCAGGGTGTTTCAAAAGATTCTGACCCACCCACACAGATTGTGGGTAAATGCTATGACAACTACTGTGAAAACATACTACATGAAGTTCATCTGCTCAGGCCAAGAAAGGGTTGAGCTCCATGCCATGCATCATATGGCGCGCTCTTAGGGCCTCGACAGCAGCTGGTATTAGCCAACCGCCACCAAATACGACTGGAAACGTACGTGTATAACGAGATAAAAATCAACCTCATGAGGTCGGATGGGCGTGTTTGCATTTGGATTCAGCCCCGCGAGGTCCTAACGGCGTGAGAGGGGGACCCGCAAGTATGGTGGAGGCACTCTGATGTTTCGAGGCTGCATGACGGCCAAGGGAGTCAGATATGGCTGTCAAATACGTTTTTTAGGGTACTAAAACGAAAGAATCACCCTGTACAATGAAGAATAGATGCTAAGCTGTGTGCACGCATTCTCGAGGACGAATTGCTCTCGACAATGGAATAATACTAGCGTTAAGTGGAAGAGGTGGTGTTTCAGGAGGACAATGGTCCAAAACACACCTCGCTGCTAGCTCGCTAATCGCACCAGGACCACGGAATCGAGTCCTAGAATGACCAACACAGTCGCCAGACTTCAATCCAAGCAAACATTTGTAGCAACACTTGAAGTGGAGGCTAGTGGGGTGAGCCAGTCAGCATCCACGATTTGTGGCCGTGGGTAAAGCTCGAGTGGACGCCATTCCAGTCCAAATCTGCTTGGACTTGGTCGAAAGTATGCCTGGAAGGGTCCAGGCTGTGTTTGAGGCCAATATCAAGAACACAAAGTATTAATAACTTCGATTTTCTGTCTGCCTCAACGCGAGGGACAAAACTGTGACAATGACCTGCTTTGCTTTGAACAGCTGCAGCTCAGCCAATTGGAGGACAGTTACCATGGGACTAGCATTAATCAAAAGTCAGGAAGCAGGAGTATGATTGGCAGGAATTTAAATTAAATTGAATACGTCATACTCGAGTTATGAGTCATCAAGTGGAACTGCGTCACAGTTTTTGGCCCTCACTGTAATTTCATTGCAGTCTCATTTGTAGCAAGAATGTAATATATGAATATATTCAACTTCTTGGTGATTGCATCCATGAAAGTACATGGATAAAAATTGAGGTTCGTTTAAGACTGCTCAGGGATAAAGAATTAGGCCTTTCAGTGATTCTTGCATATGGCGTTCGATATTAAAAACGGAAACTCCTTTTACTTTCCCAGATAATTAATCACCCATGAAGTCTTGCTAAAATGTATTGTGTGAACTTGCATGAAATATGTTGCCTTGCAGGTTAGAGATTTGCTTTTCCTGCTCACAACCATGCTTTGCTGAGAACGTCGTATCTCTCTGACCTTTGCTCATCGGCCTCTGAACCTCAGGAGTTTTTAAAGGAAATTTATTCGGCGTGATGGGATTCATGGTGGTGCCATTTCTCGCACTCCCCAATAGCAGTAAGGTTTGAGAGGCTAAGAACCTATGCGCAATTATGGAGGTCGGACGTTTCGTTTTAATTCACGGTGGTATTTCTTTTATTTTCAATGCGCATAAGTAGATGACTTCTTCATGGTACACATGATAAAGAGAAATTTTACTCACGAAAATACTCTGGCCCATCTTTTTTCCTTCCGAATTCTCCGAAAGATCTATCACCCTCTTCATATCTTTCATCCTTTCTTCTTCGGATTTCTTCAAACTATCAATCATGCTTGTCAATAGTTGCCCTCCTTCACCTTCCGATTTCTTCAAATCGTTAGCTACACACTGCAATCGTTCCATTATTTCTCCTCCAGATTTCTCAAAGCTATCAGCCATGCTCTTCAGTTGGTCCATCCTTTCCTCTTCGGATTTCTTCAAACACTCAACCATGTCCTTCAATTTGTTCATTCCCTCACCTGACTCCCGGCTATCAAGCACGCGCTTCACCTCCAGTAAACTGGCCTTTCCTTCTTCCAGGACATGCATAATTTTTTCTCCATATATCTTGAAGTCTATGAAAGATAATGCAGAAATGTAGATGCAGAAATTTCCATGTGAACTTTAACCCACCCACCCACACCTAAGCCAGCAAAGGCTATTTTCCAGCCGATATACCCCTTAGTACCAAATTTGAACTCGCTCTGTGGTGTTGGTGTAATACTATGTTTTCTCAGTGTTTCACACCGTTGTAACACCAGGTTAAATACGAAATGCCACCTCAATCCCAGTTCGGTGTTGGTGTGAAGGGGATTCCCTATACTTCAGTATTAGATGTTACGAATCCCTAGGGGTTATCACCAGATCGAGTTCAAAAGCAGTGTTGTCAGCGTGAGTGGCTGACAGGAGATAGAGGCGAGAATGGCGAGGAATTTTTAAGGGACAAAAGGAAAGAATTCAAGATATGGCGAAGACCCACACGTTTTATGCCTTATAACATGGTACCTCAGAAGAAGTACCATCATAACGTAGCTCTACTAGTATCACGCTCTCAGATGAAAATTTGCGACTTCAAATAATTTCAATGACTTGCAAGATGGTCATATATGCACTTCCTCAAGCGCCCAATTGCATACTCTTAAGCATTTTGGATGAACGTGTATCCCAGATGCACATAGTTGATAATGTCCCTAGTTGGTCATTTACGCGCAATATAAATTAAAAGAGTACACCAGTGAGCTTGAAGCAACACAAAGCATTCATCTATCAACCTGACCATAACCGAGGTACGATGAATCTCCACTTTTTCCATGAAACCCATTTGCAGCCAGAGGATTATTCAACTCACCTAACATCAACCAGATCCTATTCTAGCTGAGCGCTGGATTTTATCACTTGCAAAAATACTATGGTTTGCTGCCAAAATAACCCTCGCTTGCTTAGAATTCGCAATCGTCCGGTCCCGCGTCCAGACGCTATTGAAAGTCATAGCCGGCGACTTCAACCACCACGTAGGTGCTTTCGATGGTATGAAACAAAAAGCTCCGCCAGAAGCGACGCCTTTTCGACCTATTATTCAGCAACGTCACGAATTATACAGCAGTGATCACTCCACTCCAAAGCAATTATCACTGCGTTGTAGGGTATGGCTGAAGCCCCAAGATTCTGTAGTCCACTGTCCCAAGAAGATCAGGAAATCGACACGACTCTGGTCTGCCGCTGCTACGGAATGCCTGTGGCTTGAGTTCCAAACGACAGCTTGGAACATTTCTCATGAGGACTTGGATAAACAAGCCGAGGCAATCCAGTGTTATATCGCCTTTGTCCAGGACCTGTTCCTGCAGATGAAAACCTCTGCCTCCATTCCGGGTAGATCCAGGATTGACGAAGAGGTAGCTGCACTCATTTTAGGCGAAATAACGAGGCGTGCATCAAATTGGACATCGAGAAAGTTTCATGTCTCCATACGACCAATCACCATAATATCCTGCAGAAGAAACCCCCATTCCTCGACCTCAGTGAGGTGATACAGCAACTAGTGAAACTGAATGCGCGCAAATCACAAATCTGGAAACATGCTAAAGTTGTGATGCTTCCAAAGAAGAAGCAGGTATCATCCCCGAAGGAAATGAGACCCCTTTCTGTCCCTCCGGCACAGCTGAAATCACTAGAGAAAATGATGGCTAACCGGAGTAGAAAGAGTGCGGAACACGACTCTATCGCCAGGAATATGCCTATCGCAAAGGGTCATCAACATCGCTGGCAATACTCAATTGGTGGTCTTCGCCTTGCGCTACCTGGAAAAAAGTAAAACCATCGTCTAAATCATGACCTTCGACTTTACGGCAGCATTTTACACCCTTGATTGCAACCAGATCATCCAGGAACTATTCATGCTGGGAGTACATCACCAAAACCCCTGTTGGATCGCGAACTTTCTCCTGCACCGCAAGGACACTTTCATGTATGGGGATGAATGAAGACGAATAACCTTCCGTTCCTCGAGCCTCCATCGTAGGCCCTCGCATTTACACGCAACACCGACGCGTTAAGAAGCACAATTGAAGGCGTCCTTCTAAAATATGCAGACGACATCGCAGTTGCCGCCGCAATTTCCAACGAGGAAGATCTAGCAAAGTACAAAGAAGCCATCTGTGTCGTCAACTCCTTCGCCAAGTAACGAGGTCTCTACATCAACCATTCAAAGGCGCAAGAGCTTGTCATCGATTTCCGGGGATACTCACTACTACTCACTCCAGACAAACTGATTCACCGAAATCGAATGCAAGGAAATCCAACGCGATGACCATATCTTATATCTTGGGATAATACTGCAAGATGACCTGAAATGGGACCTGCAGATGAAAAAGAAGACCCTCTCTAAAGAAAGCCTTCTAAGCCCTAAAACTTCCGATATCAGCAGATGCTTCCAACGCACGCTTCCTGAATGCATGCAACTGCTTCATTCTCCCTCGTGCAGAGTATGCCAGTGATGTAAGGGGTCAAAACCTCGCAAAGACTCTTTCGGATCAGCTGGAGAGAGTTACCCGTACGTCCCATCGCATGTATTTACCACGGGCGGACATGCGCCTGCTAAGATAGGGAGCTGTTGAAATAAAATGCCATATCCAACTGACGGCAACAAACGTATGGCAAAATCCACAACTTACTGTGGGGTTCCAAAAGCGGGAACGGAGCGGTACCGAAAAAGCACAATACCTACTCTTGAACGCATCCTCTGGGAGAATCATAGGCGCCGGCAGATTCCCAAGTAACACAAGATATTCCAGCAACGTTTAGGAAATGTTGATGAACAATGTTGCACCTATGTGTAAATGTCCAAAACGTCAACGTTCCTCAAATGTTGCGAAGGAACATTGCATTTACGTTGCAAATCGATACTTATTCATTGCATATACGTTGCAGATACGTTTCAGGATTTATGTTGCTGCAATGTTGATTAAAAACGTTGCTTCACGGGCACCTAATCTGGGCCTATATTGGCATTACGGAAAAGCGTAGGCTTCACTGGTCCTGAACTGGACCGATATTCGACCAATATTGAATTATATATTTCATCCTTTCGTACCATATACTTTACCTCTCTACTCAGACATTCTCATCAACAGGACGAAGCCTGTACTGCTTTTTACCCTCTACCCATGCATAATACAGTACTGTATCATGTACAGGCAGGAGACAGTACACTTTTGGAGGTGATCTTCCCCTGGATGTGCAAAATTGCACAATACAGGAAAAGGTCCAACCGCAATGTTCTATGGAGTATCCACGAGATCAATCCTTCGTTTCCTCAGCTAGTACCCAGGATGAGGATATGAAGTATTGAGATTGCAGACTCTCTAAATCGTTTTTATTGCCCTGTAGGATGAATTCGACGAATTCTTGGAAAAGGGTTCTTCTTGGAAATATGAGCTTTGTCTATCTTGACCCCATTAATCTGTCTGGAAAATCAGGATAACAGGTGATGAAGTGTCCATGTTCATTGATTCCTATAATGAGACAATGTGAGACATAAGGCAAAGTACTAGACATTCCTGTGCGGGACTATTCCAGGGAAAGAAAGAGGAGCACTTTTGTGTACTGTGAGAAAGCGAGACTTACGTCTCCATCTCGTGGCAAGGAGGACAACTTTACAATTCTCTAAAACTCCTAAGTCCATGTTGTATCAGAATGTTGTCGCTACGTTGTCGATGTCAAGAGTGTCAACATTCTCTCAATGTTGATAGCTAATGTTGCAATGACATTCGTAGAAGTGTCGCAGCAACATTCCAAGTGAAAACATTGAAGCAATGTTTTCTCAATGTTGTACAGCAACTTGCAACATAGAGCAACATAGGCAACATTTCGAAAACGTTTCATCAACATACTGTGTTACTTGGGTTAAGGTATAAACTCTTCACTCCTTCAGAACGTCCGCTCGACGCAAGTGATCCTTGACGGCTGGAATTCATTTTTTTCTTTCCCTCCACCCAGCACTTTCTTTTATATTTTTATTTTTATTTATTGACTCCTTATTATAGGATTTCTGCTTCCAACGCTGACTGCCGGTCACCCCAAAATTCCTTCATGAAAAATAAAACGACGACGATGACGCTGACGATGTTTCACAATCTAGCATCTTAAATCATGGGACACCGTTCTGAACTGGGACTGGAAACATCACTGCATTCTATGAAAAATTTCCTACACCTATGGAGATACAGGCACTACCGTAAAATAGCCTTGAAAGTATGATATTCAAGGGTTATCATAAAACGTAGGGTTTGCGTTCGGAATTGGGATGAGCTCGATTGAAAACGAGGGCCTTGCGTTTTATGAAGTCATGGGACACGCGTGCGGACATGCGTTTGCACGCGTACGTCTACCTACCTGCCCAAGCAATGACGCAAAGGATTCATGACACGAAAGTGTGAAACAACCTTTAGTGCTGGTTTTAACGCACTTTGACCCATGTGGTTCGTTGAAGGAGCGCTTTCTCCGTTATTGACTACCTATCCGAAGACTGAATGAATATTTCTGAAGCAACGTTCTAATGTGTAAACGAAAGCATCTGCATCAAAGAACAGAAGCCCAAATGAAGCAACTTACCGTAGCCTCATGTAAAGCGCATCGCATCATTTCAAAGATGAACTGATATGGTTAAATTGTTCCTTAATATTTGCTATCATCATTCTTCTGCGTCATTCTTCATGGCGTATTTTTTTTTAATTAGCGCATGAAAAATCCATCGGGTATATTTTTCTTTAAGTGCGTCTAGCCTCCAGTCCTTTCACATGAAGGTGAAATCTGGAACGTCCATTTCTCTGCGTCATTTTCTTGAGAATCGTCACACTAGATTCTGAGTGGCACGAACGACGCCCAGTTTAAACATAATTTCATAGATAATGGGCAACATATGACATTCGTCGACGTTTCCTCTATTTCGGTTGCGTATTGGGGCCTTCTGATTATATAATGGTTCAAATGAAAAAGAAAACAAAGCGAAAATTAGGACTGATTTTTTTCCCTTAAAAGCGTCGAGATTTACATTTGTCTTCAGACGCTTCGTTTTAGCCGCCATGGTTGCCCCAGGGAAATGGTCAATTGATGTATTCTTCTTGCCAATAAAAGTTGTGGTGTTGCACTACCTCATACTTCCTGAGCGATGTACCTATGCCATCATATTCTGTTTTGCCAGTGAAATCCACTACGCACAGTGTCGGCACTTGCACATCATGGGGAATCATGGGCCTATACCACAGACGTCAAACTAAGGAAGAGAAAGATCCGTTTTACCTGAGCTTATTTGAAAAGTGAGGTAGCTAACCTGAACCAGCCAGGTAAGCGTCGAGCTCTACTTTAGAGGAGTGGAGGAGCTCCTCAGCGATAGGTCGATGGCCAACCTCAAGGAGGCATCTAGATATGAGGGGCAGATTTCTTCCGTTCTTCTTCCCCAGGACATCACCAAGACTGTACATTTTCTGCTCCTTGTATTTATTTTCGTTGACAGTCCTTATTTCGTCACTGTTGAGAATACCGCGGTTCATCATCCTTTTCATGACATCATCCGGGTTTCTAATCTTGATGAACTTCAGCCATACTCTGTCGATGCGGGCTTTCAAATCTGCAAAGAACAGACAAGGGCACAATAAAAAGTGTTTATATGTGGACTGTTTCATTCTTCATCTATGTAGAGGACGAAGGAGTCTAATTTGTTTCAAGACAATTAAGCTGATTTCCTCAAATGCGCTAGATGTGATGGTTATGGCAGCCATGGGTACTGGATGAATTTACAGACGGGAACTTAAAGTATATGCTTTTAAGTATTTCTGCATGAAACAAGAACTCAAAGAAGTACATATAGATGTACGTGACATGGACGTTGGCTGTAGAACTAGAGTCAAAGGTAGCAGAACACAGGGGTTCTCTGCTCAGGTGGCAGGTAGCGTGGAAATAGTGCAATAAATAGATTCTTGTTCAAGAAACCACTAAACAATTTTAAAACATTATTAAAAACAGTATTAAGAACAATCCCATGAAACAATACAGCTTTTATACGCTAAAGATGTTTGGACGAGCCAGTAGTCGAATCAAGCGAATCAAGCTGGTGGGTAATAGCCATTGAAAGGTGGCGGAATCGATAGGCCGGAGAAGTGAGGAGGAAGCTCTTAGGTCGGTGAAAGGTTGACCCAATACTTTTCTGAGACTTCAGGCCAATAGCAACTGCTGTTGCTATTGGCATTCAAAGTTTAAACACTTTCCAACCCAACGGCTAGCCTTGACACTGGGACCTTATGGTCAAACTCATGGAAATCGTGGTGCATAAAATCAACAGACAAAGAGGTTGTCAATAAACAAACAGCTAGAAGCAAGCTTGGATATGTGGATACAGTCCGCTGAGTCAAAAATCCCAAGGCAATAATGGCCTATTTCACAAGGCAGATTCAACTCTAATATGAGGAAATATCGTTGGCCTAATACATACAAACCCACGAACTAGTGTATTAAAGACTGACAAGCTCAGACAAGATGGCAATCACGAGAGACGTGTCTCCATTGAGAGTCATAACTCTTTGACCTCAATTTATGTACAAAATGGCCTTAGAGGGGTGTCATTATGCCAAGGATGCCTTTCACAAATTAATATGGACTAAACATGAGGCAGCATGGACGTGTTTACAAATATAAGTGGTTAAAAGTCCTAGACCAACTGATGATTTGTGAGCCAGGGCTGGACAGCACAGAAGTTACTCTTTCAGAGGCTAAAGTAAATGTAAGGTAAATAAAAGGTCAGGAGAATGGTTTTACCTGGTGGGGTGGACTGCGCTCACCAGGGTCAACCAGGGTCACTCTGCTGAATTTAAACTAGGTAGATGGAGTCTCCTCACGAGTAAAAAAAACGATGGCGATCCTAACGATAAAATGCAGTGTTGTTTGGCACACAAAAAAGCTATTAATATTATTGCTGGGCGTATAATTTCCTGCAAAAATTAGAGGTGTTTATTTTTTTTGCGCTTAAAACAAAAAGGAACTCATTTTGAAGATGAAAAATAATTTTTATGGAATGGGTTCTAATGTTGTTTGATGCGTTGCAGTCATTTGCAAGTTCTTACTACTTCTTAATTGATCTTCAAGATTGATTATTCGTGATACGCAATGCACAAATACGCTTCATAAAAGGGACTGATGAATGACATCTTCCTGGGAATACTACGGAATGGTATGAGCGCCAATTTGGATCGGGGTTTTGCTTCGATGAAAATGCACACCCTTTTTGATAGAATCGAATCGCCCTGCGCTAGGAGGTAACTTTTATTTAAACTTGTACATTTGGAGAAAGTGCCTGAAAGGCCTTGGTTGGTACAAACTTTCAGAGAAAAAGGACGGTTGTGTCCCGCTACTCTACTTAAAAATGCTTCTTTGGGCATCTTTATAAGGCTGATAAGAAACTTTTGATCATTTTTTTGGCATTAAAGAATAATCCATTTGAGTCAGTTTTTGAACTTGTACTTCATAATAACTTGAAGAAAAGAAATCCCAATGACCTGTCTTGCCCCTCTGGAACCCTTTTCCATCCCCAACCGCTGGCTCATGCTATCATTGGAATAACAATTTAAGTTTGAGGGGGAATATGCGATTTATAGATAATGAATTCCTTGCCAGCCTGTAAATCGAAAACCCCCATATGCTATAAAGTCTTACCTGTTTTACTCTCAAGGTCCTCTGCTATGCTTGAACAATCGAGATCCTGCAAGGCTACCAATAAGTCAAGGTACCACTCCTGGTATTTCCGAGGCTTCTTGGTCAAGGTATTGAGGAACTTTGTCGTTCTTGTTTCCGAACTGTCAGAACATATATCCTCAATTTCTTCTTTTGTGAGGTATCCTTGAAGTTTCTGGCAAATGCTCTTAACAGGAATTCCTGCGAGTAGGCGTCGGCGACTTTCGATGAACCTGAAAATATTGTCCTTTCGTTTTACTTACCAGCTTGTCACCAAGAAAAGGTATTACAGTTTTGTTTCATGGGTGAAGGGTAACTGGGATGCTTACCATGGATCGACTTGGTGCATCCATCAGCCTGATGCATGAAGCTGATACATGCATCACAATTACTCTATATGGATGAAACACCCATACTACGTGTTGAAATTACCTCCAGAGATCTCATCTTGACATTGCCTTGCAGTTAAACACTCAACAACGGCCCTATGGGTACCGCCTTGTGGGAAGGAAAATAAATAAACTTTCGCGTTCAATGGCAGGTTGACCTGTGTGGACCCACTTCATTGTCGAGTAAATTTGTTAAATCATACCAATGGTGTTAGTGATTTTTAGATATGTTTTTTTTTTTCAAGTTGATTGAAGGAACGCTTCTTTCTGAATTTTAATCTTTTAAAATTAACTTTGTCCTTCATTCGATTTTGGCCAGGTTATGTTTGCGTGGACCGCATGAAGTCTCGCTACTGGTCTGCGAATCCCCTGTTGAGTAACATTAATCTACAGGTTTGGAAAACTAAACTAGGAAGAGTGTATTTTCACCGTACACATATAAGGTGACTCGGTGATAGCAATACTATGTGGCTATCGAGCCGCAAAGGTGATAGGGTGTGGCATGCACAAAAGAGCAGCTCACACTGTTTACTTATGAAGGTTTTATTAATTCATGGGCTACGATAGAGAAAAGGTGTATTTTAGAACCCACAACTGGAAGAGTTCTAAAATGCACCACGAGTGCCCCATCCCCTAAATGATCTCTTGACAAGGGAAGTGCGAAGATCTGCGTCTGTGACGAAGTAGTGAAACGACCAAATGTGCTTGCGACGTTTTGTCCACGGCGAACTGTCCATGACCATTTAGGATGCGACGAAAGCGCCGGTAACCGCTTCATCTCAGGAAATCGAAGCTTTTCTCGATTTTTCTATACATCTTTAGGAGTTTTCCTACCATGTTTAATCTAGGTGACCGTTTCGGGCGATTGGTGTGGGTGCAACGGGGCATGCATCTCAAACATCTGATTTTTTTCTGAACTCGTCATCCCAATAGCTACTTGTGTACCAAGTTTCAGATTTCTAACTTCTCTTGAACATGGTTCGAATCAGCGTCAGTCACTCAATCAGTCAAGTAATTCATATTATTTTTCATTCAATCTCGATGCAGGACACCGGATGACACTTTATGAAGATACCTTAGAGTTGCCTAAGAAATTTAATTGAGATTCCAAACATCCTTCCTTGTATATTTTTTACATTTCGGAGAGAAATACTTACTCAGTGACGTCCTGTTGCTGCTGTCCTTCTGAACCTGCAAGAAAAGAGGTTGGTTTCGTGACACAATAGAAGGGGAATGTTTGGGAAAGTCTTTTTCCAAAAAGTATTTCTAGGAATACTACAGGGTGGCCCATTAAAAAGTGGACTCGATAATTCACTTCGCGCGCAAATTCACATCCAATAACCTTCGCTGCTGTTAACGAGAGCTGAGCGGGTTCACTTTAAAGTGGACCACCCTGTATAAGTATGAACCGCAGCAGAAATTACTGTTGAAGTCTTTTTGTTCGCATAAGGCACTTATCAGGAAAATAATGATTAAAACACTAATCACTATATGAATGGAGCATCAGAACCACAATCTGCCTTGCAAGCATTGCATCGGTTTTTCACCAAGGACTTGCTCATTGTCAGTGCATTCAGGGGAATACATTTGTAATCTGTAAGGGAGACTCAATCATTAGAATGAAGGAAACAATTTTTACGATTACATGAAGTTAATACCGAACGTGAGCTTTAAAATGAATTAGGATTTGTTGCTTTGCTCCTATCTGAGCGTCTCTCAATGGAAGCACCCCTTGGCTACCCAGCCTCGTTAATTTCTGTGATGGGGGAAAATATCCTTTGAGGCTATGATGATGACTAGATCGAAATTTGAGGACGAAATGCTTCGGTTCATCCACTGATTCACTCTCCAAAATTCGGTTTTGCAACTCAATTAACCATGTCTCAGTTAAGAAAAACCTTCTTGCTTTGGCTGAATGGTGGGGGTTGGGGAAGGAGAGGGGAAAAAATGAGGTTTTTCTTAAATGAAACAGGGTTAAGTATTGCAAGTTGTATTCAATAAAATGTACCGCAGGTAAAACGTTTCAACGGGGATCTTTACCATGCACGCAATTCCTCCAAACGACCATCAACGTTTGTGGGAAATATCTAAAGGAAGCAGCAAATACCACGTATATGTTATGGAAAAGGCCTTGTATGTGCTTATGGAGGACATTATTTGTTACAGGGAAATGATCCCTTTGCGGTATCTCCCAGAGAATACACTGAGTACTACAGAGAAGTCTTGAATGATCATCAGTGTATTGTCTGCATGGGAAAGTTCATTGGATCCAGGATGGTAGTTACATGGTTAATGTTTGATCATCGATTACACTTCTGTTCAGCCTGCAGGGAATGGAACTAAGAAAATTCCCATTCAAACTTATTGTATCCCTTTTCATCATATTGGCATGAAAACAAAATCTCTATCGATCGTATTTCTTCAGAGTCTTCTCAAGTGATGAGAGTAAACTATTCAAGATGGGTCCATTTACATTCGAGAAGCTCCAAAAGAGCCATACGATACGAAAATTTAAAGATTCAATTCATCATACCTTGCAAGAAGTCCACGACGTCCTGCCTTTGCATGTCAATGAGTGCCTGAAAGAAGACATCAACAGCCGTTTGTGGGTTCTTGGAATAGAGGGTGTGGAAGAATTCATCATTCCGCTCAGTAGGATCTTTTATTTTTAGGATCGTTTTCTCCTCGTTGACTGTAAACACTTCATTGCAAGTCAATCGTCGAACCAACTCATCGCAGTTCACATGCTTGTCAACAATGTTCAAGCGATTTGTTTTGATTCTGTCCCATGATCGTGGTTCTTCGCTCATCTGCTGAGAAAAATCCAATTTATTCCGATACTCAACATCACCATTAAAATCTTCCGTAGCTATTTGCATATCACACAAGAACATCGTCAGAGCAGAATAATTATGTTATGGAAGGTGTCCTGAAGAAAAAACTTTACCATGTAAAAAGTTCTCTGTTTATTTAATTCTACAGTTAGATTATTGATTGAAATGAACCACATTGTAATTCCATGTAGTTTATGATTGCATTAATGAACATCATGCTCGAAGATGGAGAATGGAAAATTCATGGAGAATGCATTCTCAAATGCACCTAGGACAATTCAAACTTGCTCCCTTAACTTGGTTGTCTGTCCATGCCTTAAATTTTCTCCCTAATGGCACATTTCACATCATCTTTGGTCCGTGGGTTCGTCCTAAGCACTTAGCACCTAGGCACCTAAGCACTTCATCCTCCAGGCAACACTAGAGGCAAAAATCCAGGGACGAGAGGGGATATTGGTGGCCATGGAAAGTCTAATCGATGTGTGCGTTTAGGATCTGGAAAGTATTGATGCAGCTTAGACAGATTACAAATGCATCAAGTAACTTCAGTTGTTCTGTAGCATTCGAGAATGCTTTCTCTGTCGTGGGGGTCGTTTTGAACATGTGTTTTATTTAATGGAATCAAGAACTTGTGCACGGAATTAAAATGTTGTCCATTTCAATCAACGTGTCATGCTTTTTATGCGTCAATCTGTAGAATTAAAGAGACAGTTTACCTTTTAAATTTAAACTTTTTCCAGGACACCCTGTAATTGAAGCAATGGCCCATGCAGATTCAAATTGAGAAACATGTTCTAGTGATGAGAGAGCTATCATAGTTTGCTTTTCTAATAATTGTTGAAAATGAAAAAAATTAGGTAGATATGCATGGATATTTCTTTAGCAATACTCGAGCCGCACTTGTCACTTGCCACTTGTGTGGGGGCGATGAGAATCTGGAAAGGAAAACGATATCTTACGCATTTCAGTTTTTCTACATAAAAGAGTAGTTTTATGCAATTTTGTGCGACTTACGAGAAGCGAAACAAACATATATTGTAAATAAAAAATAACATGAATTAATTACAAACCTCGTCATTAGCACCAATTCAGTTGTTAATGAAGACTATAGTTTATTTTGCTCAAATGACCTAGAGAATAATATAATTTTACAGTTTCTTCCTTATAAAGGAAAACTACATTGTTGATTCGAAAGAAGAGCGAGTTGTAAAATAGCTTGAAAGCCGCACTCTGATTACAGCTGTAATCCCTCAAATCAGTTAGAACTTCATAAACATTCCATTATTAATCTACGAGTAAAGAAACCTAGTAGCCTAAAACAGGACAAGATATGAGAAAAAGACTAAAGGTTACATTTGTGAGGACCAGGCTGTAGAAGTTATGGGCTTCTCAGGTCGTCAACTATCATACTTGACATCATTTCCGACAGCTTTTCCTTTCATGCCAGAATGAGGGACATGAATTTCTCATCGAGGACCCATACCTTTGTGAAAAACAGAAATGTCAGAAATGGACGAAGTATGCATTATACAAGCGAGTTCAATGCGTGCTACTCCTATCCACTCGAACTTGGCCATGCCAATGAAAATTTTGAGTCTGAGATTTAATATGTTCACCTCTATCGAGAAGAGGGTTCCTTGAAACATCATGGCCCTCTTCCTCAACCTACGCTTCCTTTCCTCCTCCTTCAACAACATTACCTTCATAATCTCCCATCTCCAATCCTAACTGGCTGAGAGCTAGACTTTCGCGGTTAGCATATTTCCCACAAGGCCTTCACATTTCATTGCATCCTCTTTCTTTCAGAAGACAAGTCAATCCTTTTCTCTTAAGGGATAGGTCAAAGCAGAGAGAGGATAGAGATAATAGCAAGGAAATCCCCGTTTGACATTCCCGACCTTTCACATATGAGGACAAGAGTTATCATCTGTAGGCTTTTGTGCCCTCAACTACTCCTAAATCATGAAAAGGATCAGCCTTCTGAGGTAAAAACAAGAGTAAAACTTGCTCTTCTGAAAACATTTGGACTGTAAAGAATAATGAAAATAAAATGCTCGGACATGCTCGAATTGCATGGCCGGAAGCATTCGACCTCAATTGTCTTTAATAACTATGCAATTTAGCTTTATCGGCTACATTGCATTCAGAATTTTTCTTTATTTTCTCGCATTTGTGACCTAGCCCTGCATCAGTGGGTTCCCAATGAACAACCTGCAAGTAACGAGACGGAGAAAGTAGAGAAATAAATATTGGTGAAAACGAACCTGAATGTTTTGCAAGATGGTTGTGCTTGGACGGCTATTCACTCCATTTATGATAGGAGGAAGAGAACCATTGAAATGTCCTGCTGTTCTCTCTTTTGCCTTATCTTCTGTTCCTTGAGCTGATAACGAATTTCCACTGTTTACAGAGGAAAAACGTTATCTGAAGACCTGCGCAGTGAACATCCGTGAACAAAGACTCAACAATAGAATGTTCCGGATTTTCCTGGAAGTAGTTTTTATCGCTATCAACATGATTGCTATTACAGGCATAGTCGCTAAAGACCTTGAAATACCTTGCGTGTTATAGACCATTCCTTCTTATTCTCCTGGAGGACATTTGAGATGCATGGGACTTTCTCATGCATGATTACGAAGATCGCATTGAAGCTTTCTCTTAGAATCGCCTTGTCATGTAATGTCTTCACTTTTAAGGTGGTGAACACGGTCATGAGTTTGAAAGTTTTGGTTCATGCTCCCCTCGCTATAGGAGTAAGATTGATCTCGAGTGGGGAAAGAATAATCATCAGGGAATTTGTGCTGTGGCTGGGTAATTCTGCTGAAGGAGATGAATGTCTTGTATTTCAACTCATAAACACCATTTCCTATGCTGCTCATGCTCTTTCACAACGGACAATATCCCTGCATGATAGCTCAATGAACATAATATGAAGAGTGGAAAGTACAGGCTTTATATGTGTAATAGCGATTGGGGCTCGTTTACTAGTCAAATTGCCTTATTACCGTGTACTATTTTCGTGACATCAGCGTTTCTGCCTGGAAGCATACCTGTTTTTACCCCCACCTCCTCTCAGCACTTGAGTGTTGCCATTTATAGAAATATCAAGCTACCCATTCAATACTTGGAATAAGCACATGATACATAATAGTGTCATGAGAATGGCCGGAAGATTGGATGGCAGGAGAGGACGAAGGAAAGCGAGGGGATGACTGGGAATTGATACCAGGCCTCCTGATTGCCGGTCAGTTGTGCTACCACTACACCACCGAACCCGGGACATTCAATCGTGCCTCTCAATGCCATCCATATGATTACACTATCCCCTCCTTAAGGAAGTCTGGACCTCCAGACTTTAGTGCACAATTTGACTGCCAGGTCTTTCGGATACTTGGGTGGTGAGTACATGGGAGTATATACAAATGAGCCAGGGAAATTCGGCTTGATCCAAAGCGAGATATTTTACACTCCGGCCGGAAATGTCAAAGCTCTGAGCATTTTAGAATATCAGCTCTGATCATTTAAGAACACCTCAGGCTTATCTCCTTATTATTTTTGCTCTTTTTGCTTAAATGTTGAGTGAAGCTAATAAATTAAGCTGTCCCATTTTTTTTTAAATACCATTCTCCTCATTATTACTCCCGACTTATGGAGAGAATATTGATTGATCGGTACTAAATTCGTGAATTACCAGTACTTCGTCTGCAATATCAATTCTTAAGAGGCTTTTAATTAAAGGCGACTGAAGCCATCGTATCGTATCGAGAAACGTCCTTCCCACATGCCTTCAAATATGAAATATTATTTTTTCCCTCAACCGTAAAATCTGAAATCCTAATTTGAACAACAACGCCTTCATAATGCGCATTTCCACATTATCTCGCAAATAAATATAATACGTGTCTCTGTTAGGTTCAAAGTGCTGAAATTGGGGGGAAAGCAACACTCAGCAATAAAAAGTTGCCAGACTCTCTTCCTTATCCTTCGATGCACAAACTCTGCGGAATTCCCCATCAGTCAGCACGGCGAAGGCCACGGAAAGAAGACGTAAAACAATACCTGATCAGAGTAGAATAATAATATGGGGTTTCCCACCTCTTACTTTGGAGATATTCGCAGTTGATTCGCCTTCGCATGAAGGCTAGAGTGCTGTGAGGCAAGAAAAATCCCATACCGTCCTGTGCAGCACTACAGCGTACGTTTTTCCAGGTTTTTCACGTATAAATTTATAAAACAATTATTTCACGTTAATTTCAAAGTTACCTTGTCTGAATCTTTTGTTTTGCCCCATCCCACAACAAAAGTATGTTCCACTCTCAAGGGACATGATCATTCCGCGCAGGGCTCTCACACGCACGAAGGGCGAAGGGAAATCCCCCAAATCACTTATATATATAACGATCTTCGGAGTTTTTCATCATTCGAGTTTCTGCACTATCCGTCCAAATCACGATTCCTTACAACGACATGGACTACCTGGTGAGTCTCATCTCTTATTTACTCGTCCATTCCTTTATTTGCTTTCAATTATCTTTCGTTGACTGAGTTTACTTATTACTTTTTTAAAATACTTATTACTCTTATTACGAAACTTCATTCTTTATTAGACATTCAAGGAATAGAATGAAATTCATATATGACCCAAAAAAACAGAGTTTTCTCAAGGGACTGAAGCTATGATAAAAGCCCAGCAAGGGGCAGATGCTCCGTTATTCAAAACTAGGCAGTGAAAGTGCTAAAACGATAATCATTAAGGAAAACAAGCATTGAATGCCCCGAGACTCCGAGTCCGTAACGAAACATATCCTTGATGGCAGTGGGTTTTCGTATTGCTGGCGATGCTGACGATGGACGTCGTCGTAGGAAAGCCCATGCCACAGTGGGGAGACTGGGACGACATTGGATGGGGTGGAGGCTACGGAGGCTGGGGAAACGGCTGGTGGTAAGTTCTCCCGGCTCCATACTTCGTCTTTATTCACAGAAACATCAAGAAACTAATTTTCCCTTCTTTTCTTTCATCGAGCCAGAGATAAAAATAAATTTAAAATATGGGGCGTTACTTGCAGTCCATCAGCTCCGTGACCGATTTCGCCATTAGAAGGTTGAAAAAAAAAGTATTAAACCACATTGAAATTCAACTCGTGGATAACTAAGGACAAGATCGATGCTTGGAATTGTTAGTCGCTACTGATCTGTCCCCTCGACAGTTTTTCTTTCCTTTCAATATCGGAAGTCTACCGACTTGGGTTATTGTCAAGTCCGATGTTTTACCCTGCCAGATCCATTTTAATTACCTAGAGTGATTCAATTCAGCTTTGTTTCGCAACGATAATTACGTGATTAGTATTCAGTAGCCACATTATAGACGATGGGGAGCTGATTTAGCTTCGTGCCTGTGAATTCACATTCCATTGAATTGAACTGAATTCACGTTGATTCACGTTGCGCTGAGCATTCTGCATTCTGCACCCGTTGAAATGCAATGTCCTCCATGAACTCGTTTCCTGATCTTGTCTGACAGCTTTGCTTTTTCTCTTTTCCTCTGCAGATGCAGATGAACGACTGGCCTCGACAGACTCCATTTCCATTCCTTTCGACCTTCATTCTTTCTCACTCTCTTACTTCATGTCCAATAAAAATGGAATCTTCTTGCTTTTCCCACGTTTGTTTCGTTCTTTATCTTCACGGTCTTTCCCACTCGGGAGAAGGAAAAAGAGATGAAAATCCAGATATGAGATCATATGGTGCACCGAGAGAGAGGGAGTGACATAAAAACATGAGCAAGAATATACGATGGATGTGATTGTCATGCTTTTCAATTTTTTTTTATGCAAGCATACATTTTTACATACTTATGAATTCCCCTAATAATTACTTGTACATGCTCAGGCATTCACTTATGCATGATACTGTATAACCATCTTCGACATATTTTTTGCTAAAAATCATGACTTGAGTTCTACATGACACATTGGTTCTCACCCAGCGGCCCTCCCAGCGACCCAGCCAGCGGACTTCCTTGCCTTAGAATTGTAAGCAAGGCCAATCCAAAGGTCGGCGATCTCATCTCACCCTTCATCAATCCAAAAAAAGGAAAATATCGCAAATCTTCATCCAATGAAGAAGATAAGTAAAATTCACGATTGTCGTCGTCGTTGCCGAGTCGCTCTTGAGGTTCCTCCGACCTGTGAGTTTGACGCCAGATCTCTTTCCATGAGTTACTGTTATCACTTAATGATTAAGATGGGTGCGAGTTCATCGGATTCTTCGGTTAAAAAATGGTATTTGACTTCGTAGATTTTGCTTCAGGTCATGGAGGTGGAAAAACATCAAAATCAGGTATGAAGTCAGCACTCTTAATTACTATTTTTTGGCTATAAAAAATTCATTCCCGTGGCAATCCACCAAGCTGACGGCAATTTAAATTTGTGCGGTCAAAATCGAATTTCAAGTCTACGGGTTTCTGAAATTCCTCTTCGTTGAAATCCGATCCAATCCGAGAACCTGAATTCCCTTCCGAGAATTGGATAGAAAGCGACGACGGAGTCCAGGCAGAAAGTTCTCCTTCTAGTGCGCATTTTCTACTCTTATGGAGGATTTCTTCGAACTGAAACTGCATGGAACATGAGGCCCAAGACCTCTTGATTCTTTTGGGACGGATCGGCATCGTCATGATGGGAAAAAATGACAAAACAGAAATTCGCGCTATTCGAGTTGCTCTACTCGAACCTTTAGAAACGGCGAGCCACAGTTACGGGCACGAATTTGCCCTCGAACAATCGATAAAATTGGAACATAAGGGGGGGAGGTGTTTAATACCCGGCAGAAACAAACTAAGCGAAAACTTTGAGACGAAAATGATCTTGCGCAGCGAAGATATTCCAAGACGCAACACGACAGACGCAGTGAATGACTCTCACCGATCGAGAAATCCGGTTCATCCTTCGCTTCTGAGAATTCCCCAGGAATCCGCCCGAGGCAGTTCCCAGCTGTTCCTTACGAGCACGTGATCGTCACGTTCCCCACTCCGCCCCATGAGAAACCCATTAGCGGAGGAACTTTTTTTATCTTTATTTTTACTTTCATCATGAAGACTCTCTCCCCCTATCTGTACATCTTGAAAATGTGGAGATTGGAAATTTAAAAAAAAATTAATTTTCCCCCCAATAACATTAAGGAATATTAGGCATGAATGAATGCCAACATGAAACTAATTATTTCATGAATTTTCAGGAGAATTTACATTCCTCTTTCTTAGGCATCTTTCAATGGCAAAGAGTCAGGTTTAAGATAGCTCTTTTTTATTCGAATAACAGGAGATATTAGTCTGATTTTGTCCTCGTTCATCATCTCCAAAGGAGAATTTATTTTCCTCTAGTATATTCGGAAATTTATTATTATCGTGAAAACCTTGAATCGATCTGCTTCCTTCAATTTCTTTCGAAGCTGAATAAGAAAATAAGGCCCATAGAAAAAGAGAAGTAATAATCTGTAGAAAATTTCGACTGAAAACTAAAATTGTTATATTTATATGAATTTAAGAATTGAATATAATAAATCAAATAAAGAAAATAACTAAATAAATGCATATATACATGAGTAAATACATACATAAATACATACATACATGCATATACCTGTACATATACCCTGTACGCCTATTTATTTATTTATTGAAAGGAACTGAAAGTTCCAGCAAGTGGTCGCTGCACGTCTCATAGGGAGCGAAGAAAAAGCTAGGTGAAACCGCTCCCATCCCAACGTTCTTTTTTTAAATATTTTATTTGGTGATCCCCACAGGGTATCACCAATAGACGTGAGGGTGCAATAGAATAATGGCTGTTCGGATCGTTTCTTTGACCCACACGAACTTATGACTCTTGATTTAAGTGCTGGTATGGCACATTCAAGTCTAAAACAGAATAATATGTCATGCCTGACGATTTTTAATATATTATACTAAAAATCATCATGGAGACTGACGACTTCTGGTTTAACTCAGGGGCTGGGAACCCATGGCTCATGAGCCAAATTTGACTCAAGAGCCGAGAAGTTTGGCTCATTGAGACGTGGCTAAAAATCAGGGTTTCTCTTTTTTTCATGTATCAAAGCATGCGTATGTCTCTTGCCAACTATTAATACATGAAAAACTCTGTTTTTCTGATTATCTTTATCTCACAAGCACTTAGCTCAATCTTAAAATGGCTCATGTGGCCAAAAAGTTTCCCGGCCCCTCGTTTAACCGAACGAAAGTTCGAAATACAGTGTAAAAGAGCATTTAACAGCTGCTGCAAAAATTGTTCTTCGTTGCATGATTGGCTTTCCATGTGTCTCCATCTGTCTTCTGAGGCGGCACACTGCATCTGGCCCGCGAAGACTGTGAGTGAGGGAGCGTGGACCGACATCGCAACAGGCTGCACAAATCTCTGCTCGTGCCACGTGACCACGGCTCCACCCCAAATTCATCGTTTGCTTTCTGTTCCCTTTCTCCACACGTATTGCTCTGTCGTAACGCAGTGTGTTCATCGTGGATTCTTACTGACTTCTGGTAGGCCTACTTGTACTTGTCAAATTTGTTGTACGTGTCTAATTTGCTGGAAAATGCAAACGATCCATCAACAACAAGTGTTTGTCTCCACCTCTTGTTACCTGGTGATCTTAGGGACTTGCTCCAAGGTCTTGTTTACGACATCGAGAGTTTATTCGAACGACTAGTAGATACGGCATTTAGCCTAACCCGAGCAGTCAAAGCGGCGATATGAAAAACAGCACAAGTAGGCCTAAAAAACTCTGGAAGAATCCACCACGAACGCGCAGTGCCACTGGAGAGCAACCGGTGTGGACGAAGACAACGCACGGCGTCGGGGCTAATGCGGCAACCAGGATTCCTCCGATTTGCCAGAGAGCCATCTAGCACAATTACTTCAACAAGCGGGGTTCTCACTGACGATACGAGATGGCGCCGAAGTAGCCGCTACTCCTGCGGTTTTCTACATATAGTCCACTCTCTTGCTATTACGAAATTCACGTTTTATCGTTAAAATGTTAACGTAATTTAAAAAAGAAATAGTTATTAAACTTTCGCTACGCCTGAAGATGAATTAGAAAGAAAATGTTGTGTACTGTAGAGTACTGCTTTGGGCATGTCCGATTGAATGCTGGCCTGTTTGATCCTTCGGCGCATGCGTGAAGGTAATGCGGATACTGCTTCAATTCAATCAATGCTTTCGCTCCATTATCGGCTTGTTATGGGGCAGAATTGCGATGAAAAATTTTGCGATTTCGTTATAGAAACTTGTTTTTAGTCATATTTGCGAGAACTTCGTTACAAGGTACAAACTACATCATAATGCACAATTAGCAGAATTACTTAACTAAGAAGGAGAAGTCATATGAAAGTGAGAGGGTCTCATTAGCTGACACGGTCTGTTGGCTTTCACAAAAATATAACATGCTAACTGATTAATTTCCTTAAAATGTAATTATTTTTGCTCAGGTGCCACTTCTCGAGTGCTCTCTTGGATTGGACTACGCAGTCTCTTGGAACTCAACGACGCCCTCTTCATCTCATTACTAATTGGATTTCCTCTAATAATTAAAAATTAAACCTGAATTGTTTATGTCGGTTGAGATTGCGTTAACCTCGAAGCGAATCCCGCGGGACGAGGGTGTGGTCTACACTCTTAGAAAATTCCGAGCGTTTGGGGAGTAAAAAGTGAGCACACTGTGAGCTTTCCGAATTTACTCTCTTATTACTCACCAGATGCTCCCACATCGCTCGTATTGAAGTGAACACCTTGAAGTTCTTCGCCAGGTCACTAGATGGAGGTAAGGGTCTCGCTTTTCGCACAGTTCACAAAAGTTCCCTTCCCTCTTTCCCTGGAATCGTCACTCGCAGGATTGTTTAGTACCTCGACATATGTCTCGCCTAGTCTCATTATAGGAATAAATAAACACGGACACTTCATCATTTGTTATCCACATATTCAAGAAATATTCATGGAGTTCATGCCATAAACAAGTTCATATTCCCTATTGAGAACCCTTTTGAAAGACCTTTTAGGAGATCTAAAATATACAGAGAATGTCCGTGAACTTCATTCAGTCCCACCTCAATTAAATGAGGTAATAAGGAATTGATAAGAGGTCGTCCACCCTCTGACATGTGTTGTATTCAGTACAGGCAGAGGTAGGTCAAAGCCTGTACGAGAACGAAAAGACACACTGTATATGAGAACTTTCATATTTGCATGACATCCCTATCACTTTCTAATGAGAGCGTTTTTACTCACGGAGGAGGAGAGCAATTTTACTCCTTGGTGATGGAGTAAATAGGCTCCTTTCCCAGAGTGAAAGGGGGGTGAAACTGGAGTTACCTATTTTACTCTCTTTTTTGGGAAAAATCGCTCCCCTTTTTCTAAGAGTGTAGTTCCGCGATATCGTAATTCGTTCCAACGTTTATCGTTTGTACGGGGAGATGCTGGGACCAACCAAACATTGGAAAGTTTTTCGTTAATACTTACTTCGTTATCATCGAGCGCCGATTGCTTTGGCGTCTGTGCGCATGTCCGCGTCGACGTGCTCGTGTGGCGCCTCCCCGAACATTTTCTCTCGATTTCATGTCGATAACTCCGCGTCGAAATGACAATGAGACGATGATGAAAATGAATTTGCGTTCTGAACGACTTCGCTAATCCACGAGGAGTCGCCATATGCAGAAAATACGGTTAATTACGAATAGCCAGCATTTCATTCGTGTTGATTCCTTGTCGAATTCTCAACTTCAACTTAAAGGTTTCAACCTTTTTTCGATGCTTTTCTCCTGACACAGGTACGCCTTCTAGAGCTAAGCTTATCAGTAAACATTGTTTTCCTCCAAAAATGAATTGGCTTGTCGATCATTCACCGGGTCCACGCCCACGCCCATGGCTTCAACCCCTCTCCCCCCCCAAGGGAAGGGGAAGAAATCTCCCCCACCGTTCCGCTTAGCCTTTCCATTGGCGAAAGCCTGGCTTCGCAAATGCTCACACCTTTCTGCGTTTCATATCCACTCATGAAAGCAGAGGCCTTTAATGAGCCACGTTGTAGCCCACAAGAAGCCGTTGTGTCGGTCGTCGAGACGGTTTTGCTAATT